CACACGGCGAGGTGGGTAACATAGTTCCACCCAGCAAGGCGGGTAACCAAGTTCCGCTCAAGGACAAGGCGGGTAACGTAGTTCTGCACGAGATCGAGAAGATCGGTGGTGCCGTCAAGGCCGCGCCTCGAGACGAAGACACCCGAGGGTCACGTCGTAAGCCGGGCCTAGTCGTGTGGCCGACGACGCTAGTCGCCAGCGACTCCGAGCCTCCAGCCAAGGCTCCAGCCGCCGAAGAGTGTTATCACATCTTCGACGGCGTGACCGGTCGTCGGGTCAAGACAGGAGCTGTCGAGCTTACAGCTCTGCCCGAGGTTTCAGAGTTGCTGAACCTTGAGGAGCTCGCCATGGAGGACTTCTTGGCCGAGCTAAAGGCCGGGGAGATCGCAGAGTTGGTTCTCCTCCGACCGGAGTCCACGTCGGCCGAGTTGAACTCGTCCTCGGGCATGGACCAGGCAGTCCTAGAGGAGTTCCAGAGACAGCGTGCGTCGCGCATGGGCTCTGAGATTCTTAAGAACCCCCGGGACCCGGTGTACCCCTTGGTGAAGGAGTTTGAGGACGTGGTGTCCAAGGATCCACCGTCCAATCTCCCTCCGGACAGGGGAATCAGGCACGAGATCGATCTCTTGCCGGGCACGAAGTACTGTGTCACGAGGCAATGGCCTCTTCCCCGGGAGCAGTGTGAAGTCATTGATGCCTTCTTTGCCGCCAAGGCGAAGGCAGGCATGGTGCGGGAGTCGAAGTCCCCGCACTCGACGCCTACCTTCTGTGTTCGCAAACCGAACGGAAAGTGGTGTCTGGTTCATGCTTATAACAAGCTGAACAGCGCGACGGTGCCTGCGCAGACACCGATCCCGCGCAAGGACGTGTTGCTCAACAACATGGTCGGCTGCACGCTGTATAGCGCGCTGGACCTGGTGGACGGTTACTACCAGATCCTGATGCGCGAGAGCGACATCCCACTTACGGCTGTGAGCACGCCGAGCGGTATGCTCTGGGAGTGGCTGGTCATGCCTCAGGGGCTTTCTAACGCCCCGGCAACGTTCAATCGCTTGGTCACACAACTGTTCCAACCTTTGCGTGCGTTCACACAGACGTACTTTGACGACATCTTCGTCCACAGCCGTGCCGAGGCAGGCCAGACGGCCATGGAGGTGCATCTCCAGCACCTTCGACGTGTGTTCGAAGTCATGCGGGCGAACAAGCTGTACGCCAACATCGACAAGTGTGTGTTCGCAGCTGAGGAGATCAAGGTCCTGGGCTGCTTCGTCAGCAGCGCCGGGGTCCGGGCGGACCCGGAGAAGGTGAAAACCATCGCGGCTTGGCCGCCACCTCGGTCGCAGAAGGACCTACGACAGTGGTTGGGCCTCGCCAACTACCTGCACAAGTATAGTGCAGGCTACGCCGAGCTGGCACGGCCCTTGTCGGATCTCCTGAAGAAGGATGTC